AGATGTTGTGTCCACCGAAAACTAAAAAACTAAAAAAAAAACAAAAAAACAAAAAAACAAAACCTTACTGAAGGTATTTAGGAGACATTGATAGTTCCATGTTGCCTTCATCAGTAGTAAGCAGATCAGGGGGAAAAAAGGGACAAAAACCTATTTTCACTAGTGTAAAGATTTGTTTCAAGGGCTGAGGTTGTGGCTCAGCGGTAGAGCACTTGCCTAGCATGTGTGAGGCCCTGGGTTCGAGTCTCAGCACCACATATAAATAAATGAATAAAATAAAAGTCCATCAACATCTAAAAAAAAAAAAAAAAAAAAAAAAAAGATTTGTTTCAAGAGGTAATAGTTCATTCCTAAATAGGTTTCCCACCTTTCACAGGATTAGCATAGCATCTATTGGCAAAAGAGCAATTTTCCATGTATATGTCATACTGAAGGTATCAAATACAACTCCTTTTTTATCTGACATCCAAAGAATCAGAAAGTAACTGAGATTATACATCTACTTTTAGTAGAAAGACAGATGATGTGTATATAACAATAACTTATTCATAAAGATCAGATTTTGTGGCATGTCACAAACTAATTAAATATAATACAGTCACCATGCCCTCTAAATCTATTACTATGAATATAATAATTAAATTTCCTCAAGACAGGAATCTTGTCTTGCCTACAATGTGTCCCCAAGATCTACTACAGTGCTCAGTGAATATTTGTTGAATAAAATAATGTTCTACAAAACCTAAAATGACTGAATCATCTAAGCAAGATTATACTATAGTCAGTATAGCTTCAGCATTAGATACCAGTTTTCAATTCTTAGAAAACTGGTATCTAGGACATAGTATACCCCAATTAACTAGAACTTCTCATTCTGGATACAAGAGAGGTTTACTACAAATCACTTTAAGTAAAGGCTATTATTTATATAAAACATATAAAATCTGTTCTTTCAACAAATATTTATTAACCACCACTAGGCATTAGGCTAGGAGGGAGCTAAGAATATACTGTGAACTGACCCTACCCCCAGTTACATTCAGTCTAAGACAGCCTTTCTCAATTGGGGTTCCTCCTCCAGCTGTGTAGGAAAGAAGTGAATTTATTACACATTATGTATGCTCTAGGGCATTAGGGCTTAATCTCTCCCAGTTGGGAAAGACTGGTCTAAGGGAGCCACATAAGTTAAAAGGCAATTATAATGCAATATGATAAAAAGGTTGCTTTTAGGCAAGGTCAAGTTTAATTGTTAGACCTACCTATGTATGAACTAGCTGGTAGAAGCCAAGCTGCACAGACTTTGGTAAGATTCATATAAATAAATGCAAAAATACTGAAATACACACATGCAGGTATATTTATAAACATAACAAAATAAAATCAATATATTCCACACTCAGCAACATCAGGCCGAGGTTATTAGGGAAGTGAAACAACAACAACAAAAAAAAGGCTTAATTACCCTGATAATTTAACAAGGAAACCAAAAACTTCTTGCTTCTGGAAAAAGAAAAAAAAAAGCAATTACCTGAATTATTTTGTTAATTGTCTCCATATATTCTTTCATTAGACTGGTCTTGCCTTGAACTCAAAATAATAAGTAACTACCTACCTATTTCATTAATTCTTATTCTGTACTTCTAGTCTCATTTTGAATTTTCATTCTTCCTTATGCAGTATCTAATATTTTTCTAGTCTCTTCGGTAAGATTTTTTTTTATAATGTCATTACTACATACAACATGCTTTATGGAAACAAAGCAGTTAGAGAGCTTCTAGAATCAGAGATATAAATTTACTCCAGTTTTTCACACTTGCAATAAGTTTTCACTATCAATAATTTAGAAATTCAGATAAGCTAAACTGATAGCATCCACTTGCCAAGTGCCTTAACGTACTTCATCGAGAAATGTCTCATTTGAATCTTTAGTGTGAAATAACTTAATAAGCTAAAAAAGGGAATTCTTACTATTTCAACTGCCAATAACCCTTTAAGTCTATGTGAAAATGTTACTATAATCACTAAGAACTTTACCTGAAGAGTAAAAGAAGACAGGATAACATAAAAGTCCAAGATCCTTAACTCTCATCTAGTCCAGATTTCAATTAAATATGCCTTTGAACAAAATACTGCATAGGCAAAGCTACTATTATTTATTTATTGTTTATCAAAATGTTGACCGAGAACAGGCAGTGCTTTTACTGCATTCTGCAACATCCAACTCTTAAATCTTTCAAGACACTCCCTATATACCTAAATCCTAAAGTGCTGTACACCAAATCCACCAATTTCTTTATACCTCAAAACTGTGAAAAGGAAAGTTATAATATATCAGAAAGGACGGACCACAGTTATTAATGGTAAATATGTCAGAGCCATATCTTTAAAAACTACTATTTCTTTTAGCTGAAAAATGGAAAACCCAGGAAAACAAATGGCATTTTTAAAACGACTCAGCAAATACAACTGAACTGTAGATGATGAGACTCTTAAGAGATTCTTACTTCCCACATCTGGCTTACAATGTAAAGAAAGCCATCATCTAATACACAGTTCGCTAGTTTTTAATGATCAAGAACTACAATCAACACTACTGTAATTTATTTAACATTTAAAGCCTGTCAGAAAGTATAGCTCTATCAAAATAGCACAATAGATTCTGAAAGGAATTCACAGCCCTCATTCTAAAATATTAAAACAATCCAGAGGTTAACACAGAATTTAGACTACATCTACCTTATGTTTAAGTCTCAAAGTCCCACCTAATCTTTAATTTTATCCTTCTAGTGATTTAAATGTGAATGGCCCTCAAAGAATCTGAACCTGGGCCAGGCAAAAGACAAGAATAGCATATGGTTTACTGGGATCTAAAATTTGCGCCCACCCCAATTTTTAAAGACATTTTTTAACAAAGAGAATTTGATAGGATGTTTTGCATTCAGTTCAACAGCATGTTGTTAATCCCTTGCCCTAGGCCTAGTGCTCAGACAGAACTCCTAAGAACCTTCCAACATACTATACTGGCACAAATTCCCAGGACTTACCATAGACATGGCTACTCAGGAAAATGTGAGCAGTTGCACATCCCAGCTGAAACGAGGTTAAAAAAGCTCCTTTTGGTGTGAGCAAAAGTGATTTTCTGCAGAAATCTTGGTTAGGGATGCAAAGGACTAGCCTCAAACCTGCAGGCTGGCACCTCAGCAACTGCTGCAAATTCTACTGCATGCACTGGTTTCGTGGCCAGCACTGCTTAATTACTAGACTGTGATATAATGCAGATCAGTCTTATCAAGAGAAGAGGTAAAGGGGGCTTTTAGTCCAATACTTGAGTTGTTCAGTTTCAAATGTTAAAATCTCATTTTAAAAAATGTGATTTTGACATCTCAAATTTAAGCTAAATGAATTTAATATGATCCAGAGCCCACCGTTACTGTTCTCCAATGTAACAGTGCCATGTGAAAAGCTCATCCTTTTTGCAAATATTACAATTAGCTCTTCCTGTCACCTTTCCTTTTTTATCACTCAAAACAACACCTCATGATCACAAGAACCTATGTGAAATAGAATATGAAGTACAATGATCTTTTAGAGGCTAAATGTGAGAAATAAATTTTAGATACTTGCTTCAGCAAAGCATCCAATAAAAGCTATTTCATACGGATTTCAAGATCCTTGACATGTACCAACCTCTATTGCTCTATGCCACAGGTAATAACCTGCTCCAATTTCGTATTGCATGTCTCAGAGTGAGGTAAACGTTTAGAAAAACATTAACATAGCAAGACTGTGGTGATAATACCCTAAAAAGGAATTGTGTTCAAGTGTTACTTTTAACCAGGGTACATTTGTGAAAGTTTCAAATGCAGAAAAAAAAATGAGAACAAATTTCATCCGCCCTATGAAAAATGTTAGCAAGGCTTTCATTAGGAGTAATCGAATAAAAAGTTCTCCAACACGTACAGTGAGGGCGATGGGGGAAGCGCTCAGCACTCAATCCTTTTGCTTACGTGCAGAAAAATCAAAATTTGCAGATGAACCCTTTCTTTCACATCGTTAGCAAAAATAAACCCGATTCCCGCCACCTCCTCCGAAAATTAAGGAAGTTGCTACAAATAGCACATAAGTAAATGGCCCCTACTTTGCTCCATTCCTCACGTGCCTTCTAGGAGTAAACAGGTTACTCAAAAGTCCAGAAGCTAGAAACCGCTTTTCCCCCATGCCAAACTCCCACGGAAATACAATTCCCTATTCTGGAGATTTGGACGGGGGAAATGTGGCCGCAGGAGCCGAGCCGCAGTCTGCCCTCTCCCAAAGGTTGGATGTCTGGGGCATTCAGCCCTCCGCGAAGCTTCTTCAGACCCGCGCTCCGCAGCGCCTAGAACGCGCTGCAGCCTCCCCGCGGCTCCACATCCACCAGCCCATCCTGACCATCGCCCTCGCGTTTACAGTACCCTAAAGGTGAGCTTCGCCGGCAGGGTCTCTAAAGTTTGCCCCGCCTCGGGTCAGCAGCCGCCCGCCCCGGCCGAGCCCCCGGGCAACGCTGAGTCCCGCTCCAGCCTCCGGCTCCCTCAGCCCCCAGCTCTTCTTTTGGGCCACAGTGACAGGTCTACATTTACCTCCATGTGCTCGTGGCAGAGGAAACAAAAGAAGGCTTCCTCCCGGATAATAAAACGCCATCTTCGTCTAATTAGCAAACAGAGGGCCCCCCCGGGCTGTTCTTCCACAAGACCCCCCACCATCCAGCTCGAAGGCGGCCCCCACTCCGAGACAGAGTTCCTGGCAGCCCCGGGAAGCCCGGGATAAAATGTCCTGGGGGCGGGGGGTGAGCTACCTCGAGAGCTCTACCTGCCTCCCCACCCTAGCCACCAGGGCAAGGCGTTTCAGTTCAAACAAGGGTGGCGTCTCCCAATTACCCCATCAGAAATTTGTTGTGAGGGACCCGGAGAAGGGGCTGGGAACAAGCCACCCTGTACGCGTGGAGCCGCAGCGAGTGTACTTACAAAACGGTTAAAGCTCTGACGGAACATCGCGTCGAAGGCTGCCGGGCACTCAGCTGGACTCTACAGGGCTGTCCGGGAAGGCGCCGTCCACAAAACACACTGCGGCGTGGGCCGGCGGCGCAAAGCGGACAGCTAGGCGGGCTGCCCTCCTCGCCTCTCGGCGCTCCCCCGCCACCCCCCCACACCGCCGTTGCCCGCGCCCTCGCGCCCGAGGCCCCGCCGCCGCCGCCGCCGCCGCCCCGCCTCACTCGCCCTCGCCCCCGCCCCCAGCCCCGGCCCGCCCGGCCCGGGGGCGGCGGCCCCGTCGCTCCCCCTTATCTGGCCCCAGCACCGCCAGCCCGCGGCTGCCCGCGGAGAAGCAAACCCGGCGCGCGGGGGAGGGATGGCGGAGGAGCGCTAGGCTCCTCCTGCGGGGAGGGGGGCACCCCAACCTCTTCGCTGGCGCCGGGCTCAGCACCCCGCTGTCCGTACTCTCCCCGGCGCAATGCCCCCGCCCGTCTCCCAGCTGGCTTCCGCGGACGCCCCTCTCAGGGCACTGGGGACCCTTTCGAGGTTCCCCGCGCCTCGCCTCACCTCACCTCGCCTTGCCTCGCCTAGCTTCGCTTCCTCCCGACACTACTCCCGTGTCTCTATCTGGAACCACAGCCTCCCTAACCCCGGCCCTAACTCGTCCACCGCGCGGCTTCACTCACAGCCCCTCCTCGGCCCCGCGCTTTCGTCCCGCACTCGGGTTGGGGAGCCTCGGCGCAGCCCACTGGCCGGCTCTGAGCCTGAGAGACGGCTGGGCTCCCGCTTCCCGGCCGGGAGTAACCGCGCTCTGAGGAAGAGTAGGCACTGGAGGGGCACTGTGGAGACCCTGGCGCGGGAGGGGCGCGGGCAGGGGGATTACTGATGAAAGCTGGCCCCTTCTCATCTACCAACGTGAGGGTCTCCCCGCTCTGCTCCCACCTAGGCGGCTTTCCCTTCGCGTTCTTTCTCTTGTTCAGCTTCCCCACCTAAGCCCTCTTACTTCCACTTTCTCTGTGAGGTTGTAAAGTCAGGCTTTGTGTCGTTGCTGCTGCGCAGCGGGGCGGGATTTCCCTGCCACCCCCCCGCTTCCCGCTCGCCCCCTCCTTCGCAATGCTCCCGGAGCAGCCTGGGAGTTGTAGTCCAAAGGTCCCCCTACTCCGCCTGCTACTGCGAGCTGGGAGCTCCCCCATACGCCCGTTCGGGGTTTGCCCGGAGGGTTGAAGAAGGAAGCTTCTCAGCACAGATCCTATGTGCAGGTCGGGAGCACTCGGTAGATTACTAGCTGTGGGAAATGTGCAAAGGATAAGTTAGGCAAATTCCCGAATGCTGGGAGACTTCCTAGAAGTCGAAATTTGTGCCGGGAAACCCTTTGCATCCTCCGCCCCTAGCTTAGAACTGGAATCAAAGCTTAAAAAGGAAAACTGAAAGCCAAATCTAGAATAGCCTTTAGACTGGGCATCCCTCCCCCACTCCAGTCTTGCACCGCCCTCAGGCGGGGCCCGAAGCTGTAGGAGAAGAACTTGCAGATTCTTCTATAAAAGTAAAGAAATTAGTAAAGTTAGTTCAGTAACATTTGCCAGAGGCTTTTGTCGCACCACTTTCTCCAGCCAGTACAGAGCTGGGGACAGGCCCTGCTAAACCACCGGCCTCCCCTGAGATCGTGAAGGACCTTTACTACTGGGCACTATCACTTCTCCTTTTCCCTTCTAGGGATTAAATTCATTTCAACAAATCTTACTCCTTATTTTCTTTGTACCAGGCACTGTGCTAGGCGCCAGACACAGTGAATTCTTAAACGACCTCCCAGAGGGTGATCGCAGTCTGAAATGTGAAAATGACAGGTTAGAATGTAATGGCTGCTAGAGTAGAAATGCGAACTGCTGAAAGAAAAGGGAAGTTCATAGTGCCTCTGAAAAACGGGTCTAGGGCAGCTGCCCTGAAAAATCTGAAGATTTAACTGTGTCATGGATCTTGGGAAGGTGTTGAAGGAACCACTGGGGCAAACTCCTGAGTGGAGAGAGAGGTCCATGAGAAAGTGCAACACAACCTAAAAAAAGAGCATACCATATTTGCTGATGCCTAAACTGTTTGGGTGGGGGTGGGGTAGAGTCTCTGGTGAAAGCTAAAACCCCAAAAGATCTTCAGAAACATGCTTCAAAGTTTGTACTTGATTCTTTGATCAACTAGGAACCCATCCCCAGTAAAATGCAAGAGACTTAGGGTTTGTTCCCAAAGTGTTTTAACTGCCCAGAGGTAAAACCAACAGTTTAAAATTCTTCCCCAAGATGGTTCCTTTTAGGCAATATCTAATGATTGTTAAGATTTAGGTTAAATCTGTATTAATCAAATATTAGGACATTTGTTGACAAAATAGATCTAAACTTTTACTCTCTACCACTTCAAAGGTATGTTTTCAAACAGTTTATTTTCTGGCTTTTGTTGAACACAGCAACTACCTTAATTTCATTTACTAATTATTTGCTGAACAACTACTGCGTGGCAGGCACTATTCTAGACACTGGACTTGGGGGATGGAAGAGGTTATTGTCATTCACTCTAGACATAAATCTAGAATCCTTATCAATAAAATAAATAATAGAAACCCAATTTAGGTATTTGGGGATACAAGTACTTACTAGTAAAGAATATCTTTTCTTATTAGGTTTTGCTAAGCAAATGGGAAAAATGTATTCTGCTTATGGATTCAAACAGATCAATCTCAAAAAATTAGAGACCCAGAATTTTTCTTCTGCAGTAACCTCTCACACTTGCCCATTGTCAAGTTGCTTCAATGTAAAAGCAGTGATTTAAGCCCCTTCAAAATACAAGGAAATTGTTATTTGAGTTTTCATTTGTTATTCTAAGTCCACTCTTTGTCCTCCTAATTTATTTCAGCAGGACACCTATACTCATGTGTCCAGAGTAATTTGCCCTACTATAGAAATGCAATTCCATACAAATCAAAATATGCTCAGCAAAACATGAAATTTATGCAAAGGTGATTTTTTCCATATCCCAAATTCAACCTTAAATTAGAGCCACTCTCACATATATCCTTTAGAGTCACTCCTTTCTTATTTTTTAAAAAAACTCCTTTGTGAGCTTTTTTTTAAAACAAGAAAAATACATTTTTTCTTCCAGTGCCTCTTCACAGTTTCCAAACAAATCCCAGGTGTTGTAAAAAGCTGTTGTCGATGAATATGAAAAGCAGACCATCAGCCAGAATTTTCATTGGACCAACTCCATAAACAGAGCTGCAAAAACTAACTTCCTCCTGCCTAAACTGTCAAAACATGTGGCACATAATACCAACTCTTCTGGTGTATCATCTGACTCTACAGACACCCTAGTCTCCAGCAGGTAATAATTCAGGAAGCTATCTTCTATCGTTATTTCTAACTTAACTACAGATAATGCCTATTGCCCCTTTTCCGTGTAAGCCACTCAGAAAGTCCTTCTTCTTCACTGCCACTCCCTCCCCACCCCCACCCCTGTACTCTTTCCCACATTCTTCCTAAACCCCTCAAAAATCTCACCATGCTAAATGGGCAGACCAATCAGTAGGGCACAGGAGCAACCATGATCCAGCAAGAGAGCAATGATGAAGAAACACAATCACTTCTTCCACCCAATGCTAAAAAAAAAAAAAAAGAGAGGGGTATAAGGTCATTGCTTAGCATCTAGATACCCATCTTAAGTGATAGCCGCCATTTTAAGGAAAAAGTTTCTCTTTCCCACCCAAGAGCCTTTCTGAGAAAGGCTCACCACTCCCTCATACCAACCCCACCCTTAACTACCAGCATTAGGACCCACCCATCTCCAATCACTGAGCCTGCCCCATAAAAAGTGAAGGAACCCAAGTCTGTATTTGCCTCTCTCCATCTATGGAGACATGGCCTTTATTGTCAGCTCTGACAAACTCTCATGTGTATATCAGCCTGGTCTGTCTTTCATTTCTCGCTGGCGCTCATCTCCTGGTTCCTGCTTTCCTTTCAAGGGGGAAAAATTGAAACTGTTAAATCTGCATCTAAATCACACCATGAGGGGCTGGGGTGGTGGCTCAGTGGTAGAGCGCTTGCCTAGCATATGTGAGACACTAGGTTTGAGTCTCAGCGCGGCATATAAATAAATAAAATAAAGGTCCATTGACAACTAAAAAATATTTTTAAAAATCACCCCATGATCAGTAAGTTAAAGAAATTGAACTATACCTGCTGAGCTTTCAAACACACCTCATGAAGCTACCTTTTGTCCATGTGAAATATCTTTCCCCCTTTCAAAGCTTGCCTTGGTGTTGATTTAAGACCAATTTTACCCATATCTTCCTAACTATTGGTCCTTTGCAATCCTTTCTCCACACTGCAATCAGAAATCTTCAGAAGACAAAAGAGATCAAATCACTCCGCTGCTTATGCCTTTAAATTTCTGCCTTAACATCATGTACAAGGTACTGAATTCTCTGACCCCTTTCTTCCTCTCTAGCCTCAAGTGGACAACTGTCCCTCTTGCTTACTCCAGTGGCCACCTTTCATTCCTTGAGTTCCCAAAGCGCCTAACAGTTTATGCACAGGCAGCCATCTCTGCTGAAATGCTTTCACTGCGTTTGCTATTCATCCTTTAGATCTCAGCTTAAATGTCACTTCCTCAGATGAGATCAGGGCTCCCTGTTATTGTGCTCCAAATAGCCCATATTAATTACATCCTAGGGTACTGACATATGAGGTTAGTAATCATAGAGAATGGCAGAAGCCCAAGAAGACCGGGGATGATCTAATATTGTTTTGCTTTTCAAAAAGGGGGAGTAGGTGCCGCAGTCTGGCTGGGCACAATCAGGAGCCACTTGTCAAAAGAAACTAACTTTATTTTTAGAACCACACACGCCAAACAAAACAGCCTCTCAGGAAAAACCCTCAGAGCCTCAACTGCCACCACTGGCTTTCCACAAGCCTCTCTCTCCCACACAAGCTTCTCTCCACCTCCCACAATCCTCCTGCTCTTGAGGCCGATTGGCTGGGTCACATGGGCGGAGCCAAAAAGTCCCCCAATGAGCAGCTCCGTGGTCTGAAAGGGCAGGGAAACAGCCCAATGAGCATCACCGCAATCATGATATCATGATATTCTAGCAATCATGATATCAAAGGCAGGCTAGGTTCTAGAACTGACCACTAAAAGGATG